CTCTCAGTGAATCAGGGCCCAATATGCTACAGTGGGCCAGCGTCACAGTGCAAGCGGGAGGCACCCACCCATGTGCAGACAGATTCCTTTGAAAGAACGCGCTCGTGAGAGGCAGAGCCCCTTGAGCTGCTCACGTGCCACTCTTTGACTCCGAAGCACGCTGGGAGGACGTGCACGTAGTAGCCAGGGCCCACTGGGCCCACTCGGGCGCTGCCCGAGTTCCACGTCACTCTTCGACTACGAAGCACGCTGGGAGGACGTGAGTGTGAAGGCCAGAGCCCACCCCACTGGGCGGTAGTGGCCCAGTGCCACTCTGCGACTGGGAGGCATGCCCGCATGCAGACACTTACATGGTACCACTCACCTGCAGCCAGGCAACCTTGTAGCACCCACCTGCAGATCCCTCTGTTTATGAAGTCTGTTTATGAAGGAGTGTTTTGAGACGTCTCAAAGCACCCACCTGCAGGTCCCTCTGGGAAGACGTGAGTGTGAGAGACAGAGCTCACTCGGCAAGATATTTTGTCTCGTAGTAGTCAAGAAGCACTGTGGCGTTTTCGAAAAGGACGAACTGGTCAAATGGGTTGTTGGGCGGCAGGAAGCCGTACAGCAGCAGGAACTGGGCGGTGTCCATGGAGCCATAGCCCACGCTGATTGGCTGGCCTGGAGAGATGACGTCAGCAGCAAAGTTGTTGATGTCAGCAGTGGAGGAGTGAATGGTGGGCTGACGTGGCAAAAACGGGAGGGGAGAGGAGGGGGGGGAGGGAGAGAAGCGGAGTGAGGAAGGAAAGGAGGAGAGAAATGGAGATGACTGTTTGTCGAAAGAAGGGAGAGGGGATGCAAGGTGTGGGGAGAGCAAGGGGAGGGGAAGAAAGAAAAAAAAGGCTCTGACCTGCCAGTTAAAATTCATGTTTAAATTACTCTGAATGGGCCTCTTTCACCTCCAGAGATTGCCCTGAACCTGACAAACCTGTCCGAACCTGTTGAACCTGCCTGTACCTGCCCATATCTGCCCCGTACCTGTCTGCACCTACCCTTACCTGTCCATACCTATCCGTACCTGCCAGTCTGCTGACTAGAAGTCGTGGTTGAAGAGATCTAGCGGAGGCGGCAACAAGTGCACCTCCGCAGTCACCTCACAGCTTGCTCACTCCCTTGCACCTGTTTGTACCTGACCCCACCTATCAGTACCTGCCAGTCTGCCTTGTAATGAATCTTGTGGTTCAAGAGATCTAGAAGCAGTTGCTCACCCACCTGAACCCCCTTGAACATGCGGGTACCTGGCCAAACCTGCCCAAACCTACCCATACATGTTAGAACCTGGCCGCACCTGCCAGTCTGTCGTGTAGTAAAACTCATGGTTGAAGTGATCTAGCAGCGCGAGCAGCATATGCGCTTGGATCACCTACGTACTCGAATTCACGTTTCCCGAGACGCGTTTCAGAAACATCCAAGTCGCTGCTCGTGCTGCTGTCTCTGCTGCCGCTCCTGCTTTCGCTCCTGCTTTCACGTTCATCACTTTCGCATAGCACGGTCGGAGCTGAGACGATCAAGACGAATGGCGATCGTGAGGAGAAGAGCTCGGATCGACCGACGACTGCCACGTGGCATGAAGGTCGCGGTCGAACGTTCGTGGAACGACTCGATCGCGCCGCGCGAAGGGCGAAAGCAACCCATCGAGGCGCCGCTGTGCGGCGAGCTCATCCAAAGGCCCCGCGGCCAGTTCACGTCGTGAAACGTCTGGAAAAGCCAGTTGCGCTGTTCACGGAGCAAAAGCCACCACACGACTAACTATGTGGCTACGTCTGACAACCACGGACACGATGCCACGATGATGAGCTCAAAGGTGCGTGATCGAGACCAAAAAAGCTTTCTAGTCAAGAACATTGCCGAGCTGTGATTGGGCAAATTCTCCGTCAGATCCCCGAAAAAATTTGGACCATTTCTCGATTTGTGCGTGTCATCCTTGCGCAGGGGCCATGCTAATCTTCTCTGTATCGTTCCAATTTTAACGGATGTCCCGAAGGACGATTCACTAAGCGAAACAAAAATTCAAGAACCAAGCAGGTTTGCAAGAAAGTACAAAGTGGGCATTTGTGATGCTTTGTGGGCGATTCGCGACAAGTTACGAATTTCCTTGCGTCCTGCTTGTGCAATGCTGGATTCAAATGCAGCGCCACAGCGCTTCAGGTAGATGACAGGACCTAGTCTCGTTTCGCCCACCTCCTTTCGTTATGGACTTACGGAAAGCATGAGCTACGTGTGCATTGGGCCAACCGCGCCGCTGTTTCGATAGCATCTAGGCTGAGCGCCTCAAACCTAGGAAGTTAACCCTAACCATCAACAGCTAGTTATTTCCAACCTGCTGATATCTCGCTTCTCACGCTCCACCATGGCTTTACTAATTTCCGAATAAACTCGCGCCGTTCTTTCTCGCGTCGCGGTTTCATTCTCGTCCGGCACGATCGGCGGGCTGTGCATCGGGCTAGCCGTGCCGCTGCTTGCGGCGGCGGGACTGATGGATGTTCTAGGTATCGCCATTCACCCGCAGTTAACTCCGCCATTCGTGTACCAGAAAGTCGTGTGGGGTGGCATCTGGTGCGTCGAGGCATTACCTCCCTACTTCGCCCATCTCCTCCTTGTTAGAGGGCCCTACGACAGCAAGGGCCCTCGACGACCGTTTGACTTGGCAGGTCGACTATGAAAGACCAAGACGAGCAGTCTAGCACCGACCCTATGATTTGGCGATGGTTGCGTAGTGACGCGATGTGACAACGGCAGCACTAAACAGTCATTGCTGGGGTGGTGTTAGTCTAGGGAAATCGTGGGCATGCTTCTTGGGTGGTCTTGGTGGTTGTGGGTGGTTCTCTGTGAGTCTCGCCATTTCTAGTTGTGCTGGGAGAATTGGCGAGCTCGGCATTGACTTCCCTGCTGAGTTGGGTTGGGAAGTTGACGAGGCGCGTTCGCTCACCCACACACCACTTTCGTGGGGTTGGGTTACATGCGCAGTGCCACGCCAACTTTGTGAAACCTTCCCGTAGCCTATATCTAGTTGTGTGTTTGCTTTTGTATTCATAGTTGATATTGCAATTCTACTTGGCCCAAAATGCTACTTCAATCCTCACTAATGTCAAACTTATATCTGCTAAGTCTGTTTAGGCTGTAGTGGGGTAGTTCCTAGAGGGTACAACACTTTTGTGTTCTCTACTTGTACCCATCTCGTTTCTAGTTCAATCATTCATTCCTCAATTCTCACATGGTATAGAGCTAGTTTCGATTTTTCCTAAGGGCCCACCACTGAAAATACTTTTTTTTTTTCTTACCTGCCCGACGCGCGGCGTCGCGCCTGCCCTTCACGGCCCGTAGTGGCCCCCTTGAGGCCAGTAGCGCCCCCCCCTTGAGGCCCGTAGCGGCCCCCTTGAGGCCCGTAGCGGCCCCCCCTTGCGGCCCGTTAGGCCCCCTTGCGGCCCGTAGTGGCCCCTTGCGGCCCGTTAGGCCCCTTCGCGGCCCTGTCGCGGCCCCCTTCGCGGCCCGTCGCGGCCCCTTCACGGCCCGTAGTGGCCCCCTTGAGGCCCCGTAGCGGCCCCCTTGAGGCCCGTAGCGGCCCCCCTTGCGGCCCTTTAGGCCCCCCTTGCGGCCCGTAATGGCCCCTTCGCTGGCCCGTTAGGTCCGTCGCGGCCCCCCTTCGCGGCCCGTTAGGCCCGTCGCGGCCCCTTCGCGGCCCGCCCAGGCCCTTCCCCGGCCCCTTTCGCGGCCCGTTAGGCCCCGTCGCGGCTTGTCGCGGCCCCTTCGCGGCCCGTTAGGCCAGTTTGCGGCCCCCTTCGCGGCCCGCCCCGGGCCCTTCCCCGGCCCTGTCCCGGCCCCGTCCCGGCCCTGCCCCGACCCTGTCGCGGCCCCGTCCCGGACCTGCCCCGACCCCGGCCCTGCCCCGACCCTGTCGCGGCCCCGTCCCGGACCTCCCCCGACCCTGGCCCTGCCCCGGCCCCGTCGTGGCCCCGTCCCGAACCTACCCCGACCCTGGTCGCGGCTCTGTCCCGGACCTGTCGCGGCCTCGCCCCGGCTCTGCCCCGGCCCTGCCCCGACTCAGCCCCTGCCCCTGCTCCTGTGCTGTCGCGGCCCTGCCTCGGCCCAGCCCCGGATCTCTTGCGTCCCGGCCCCGGCCCTACCCCGGACCTGTCCCAGTCCTGCCCCGACCCTCCCCCGGCCCTGCCCCGGCCTCGCCCCTGGTAAGCGCACCGCCGAGCCGAGCCGCGCTGCCGAACCGCACTGTCTCCACCGTGCCGTGCCGCCCTGTCGAGCCGCCCTGCCAAGCCGCGCTTGCCCTGCCTAGCCTGCTTAGCTGAGTTGCACTGCTTGCTGCTGCTAGCCTACTGCTGCTGCTGTCATGGCTAGTCTCAGTGTCCTTACTTTTGATGCTGAGGGTCGGGCAGTTGACTTTGAGGTCTGGCTAGATGATCTGCAGCTTTTCCTACAGTGCGATAGCAAGGACGGTCTCTCACTGTTCGATCTCACGTCTGGCGCCTCTACTGCCCCTGCTGCTGATGCTGACAGTACTGTTTCGCTCGCAAGTGGACCACGCGCGATGCTGCTGGCCCGCCTTGCTGTGCGTAGTCACCTACCGTCTACTGAGCGCAGCGCACTTTAGTCAGTACAAGAGTGCTAAGACTCTGTACGACGCTGTAGTTGCACGCTACAGCTCCCCTGCCACTGCTGCCCTCAGCCGCCTCATGCTGCCGTACCTTTTTTCCTGACCTTGCCGCCTTTGCCACAGTTGCTGACCTGGTTGCTCACCTTCGCACCAGTGACGCCCGCTACCCGCGCTGCCCTTCCCACTGCGTTCCTTCCCACGAACTCCCCCCCCCATGTACATCACCCTTTACTACCTAGTCACCCGCCTCCCTGACTCTCTCTCTTCAGTCAGGGACCACTTTCTCTCCCTATGCCCCACCGAGCTGACTGTCGACTTGCTAGAGGAGCGCCTTGCTGCAGCTGAGAAGAGTATCTTAGCTGTCGGTGCTTCTCGCGGCGACCGTCGCACCCCCTTCTTTGAGGGGTGTTCCCCTGTCCCCCTTCTCCCCTCTGTTGCCTCTGCTGCTGCTGTCGACCTCGTTGGCACTGAGGAGGTCGGCGCTGCGTCTGCCTCTAGTGGGCGACGCCGCACCGGCAAGGGCAAGGGAAGCAGGGGTGGTGGAGGGGGCGGTGGGGGAAGCGGTGGAGGCGGTGGAGGAGGTGGAGGTGGTGGTGGGGGTGGTACAGGGAGTGGGGAGTCGGGTGGCGGCAGTGGAGGCCGTGGCGGCGGTGGCGGAGGGGGTGGAGGCGGCGGCAGCGGTGGTGGAGGTAGCGGAGGAGGTGGTGCTGGTCGCGGTGCAGCCACGCAGCGTGGAGGCCTTGGTGGCAGCCAGCGCCAGCAGCAGCAGCGCACACCGTGAGACCCGTCGGTTCAGCAGCTTCGTGAGTGGTACGCTGGGCGTGGGAGGTCTGGGGGTGCGGGTCCCTGCTCTTACGTTCTTCGCACCGGCACTCGGAGTGGGGAGGTGTGTGGTCTTCCTCCACACACCACGCAGCGCTGCTTCGGCCGCTTGACTGACGCTTGGCGTGCCCAGTTTCCTGACGCCGTTAAGCTTCCTCGTTGGCATGATCTGCTTCTGCAGAATGTGCCTATCTTTGATCTAGACTTTGATGCTATCCTTGCTGCCATGTATGCTTTTGCTGATATTACTGAGGGTGACTGTTACCTGCGTGTCCCGCCCGACCCGGGCACTGTGGCTGCTGCTCTAGGTGCTAGTGCGGCTGCTGCTCTAGGTGCTAGTGCGTCTGCTGCTCCAGGTGCTGGTACGTCTCCTCTCTCTGGTACTTGCACCTACTGAGTCCCTTCACACTTTCACACTTGACTCTGGTGCTTCGCGCTCTTTCTTTAGAGACAGCACCACGCTCACGCCGCTCAGTCGGCCCTGTTGCGGTCTCCCTTGCTGACCCCTCCGGGGGCCCGGTCCTTGCACACTCCTCCACGGTTCTACCGTGTCCTGCGGCCCCGTCGGGCTTGCTGTCGGGACTCCACCTCCCCTCGTTCTCTACGAACTTGGTGAGTAGAGCTGACCTCCAGGACGCGTGGGTTGACCAGTTCACCCCCTGGAGGTCAGCGTGTGACCCACTGCACTTGCTCCTCGGACGGGCCGCCACCTGGCCACGTTCAACCCGTCGGCCAGGGTCGAGTCTGTACACACTGACTACTGCGCCTCCTCCAGGTGCCCTGCGTCTGGTCAGGTAGCTGCGTCCAGTCAGGTGTTTGCTGCCGCGTCCAGGTCTAGTCCTGCGTCTGCCCCCCTGCTCGTGTCGTCCTCTGGCGCACGAGACTCTCCTTTGGCACACCGCCTTGGTCACCCCTCCCTGCCTCGACCTTCGAGGTATGGCCTCCCGTGCTCTTGTCTCTGGACTCCCCAGGTCCCTCCCTCCCCTTCCTCCGGGGCCTGCCCCACCTGTGTTCCTTGTGTCGAGGGCCGGCAGCGCGCCGCTCCTCACTCCTCCTCGTTTCCTCCGACTGAGGCCCCTCTGCAGACTCTTCACATGGACGTGTGGGGCCCCAGCCCGCGTCCGTGGACAGGGTCACGAGCGTTACTTCCTACTGGTCGTTGACGACTACTCGCGTTACACCACAGTATTCCCCTTACGCAGCAAGGGTGAGGTTCACTGAGGTGTTGATCGACTGGATCCGCGGTGCTCGTCGCCAGCTTAGTGAGAGTTTCGGCTCAGACCTTCCTGTTCTGCGTCTGCACTCAGACAGAGGCGGGGAGTTTTCCTCCGACCTCCTGAGAGCCTTTTGTCGTTTTGAGGGCATCCGCCAGACGTTCACGCTTCCGGCCTCCCACGACAGCAAAATGTGATTGCTGAGCGCCGCATTGGCATGGTCATGGACGTCGCTCGTACGTCCATGATCCATGCGGCTGCTCCCCATTTTCTGTGGCCGTTCGCGGTTCAGTACGCTGCGCATCAGATCAAACTTCAGCCTCGTGTCTCCTTGCCGGAGACCACACCTACACTGAGGTGGACGGGGAAGGTTGGCGATGCGTCAGCGTTCCGAGTCTGGGGATCTCGAGCTTTTGTCCGCGATACTACAGCGGACAAGCTGTCCTCCCGTGCCGTTCCCTGGGTCTTCCTTGGCTTCCCTCCTGACGCACCCGGGGTGGCAGTTCTACCACCCCACCTCGCGTCGTGTTCTGTCCTCTCAGGACGTCACGTTCGACGAGTCGGTGTCGTACTACCGTCTCTTTCCCTACCGCACTGCTCTCCCCCCCCCCCGCCACTCTTCCTGGCACCAGGTACTCCCCTGGTAGACCCCCTCCCCCCCCAGGGTCCTGCCCCCTCAGGTGTGTCCCAGGTAGACCCTGCCGAGCCGGTCGAGGTAGCTGTCGACTCAGGTGCTGCTAGGGGGCTGACCCTGCGGGTGCGGGGACTGGGGGTGCTGAGACTGGGGGTGCTGAGTCTGGGGGTGCTGAGACTGGGGGTGCTGAGTCGGGGGGTGCTGAGACTGGGGTGTGCTGAGCCTGGGGGTGTGGCGCCTGAGGGTACTGAGTCTGGAGGTACTCTAGGTGTCCCGTCGCGGCGGGAGCCCCTCTCTCCACAGCGGCTTCGTGAGTGGTACTCTCGGCGCTGTCGAGTTGCTGCTGGTGCTGCTGGAGCTGCTGGAGTGCTACTGGTGCTGGCGCTTGCTGGAGGTGGTGCTGGTGCTGGAGCTGCTGGAGGTGCTGGAGGTGCTACTGGAGCTACTGGAGGTGCTGGCGCTGCTGGAGGTGGTGCTGGTGCTGGAGCTGCTGGAGGTGCTGCTGGTGCTGGTGCTGCTGGTGCTGGAGCTGCTGGAGGTGCTGGAGGTGCTACTGGGGCTACTGGAGGTACTGGCGCTGCTGGAGGTGGTGCTGGTGCTGGAGCTGCTGGAGGTGCGCTGGGACTGGAGACCCTGGGGCTGAGGGTACCGGTTCTGTCTCTGCTGTTTCTGGAGGCGCTGCGCGGCCGCGGCCGTACTACGTTCCGCTCCTTCAGCAGGTTCTTGGCTCTCCGCCTTCTCCTGTTCCTCCTCCTCCTTTCCTGAGTCCACCGCTTGTCCAGTCCCAGTCGCAGTTTCAGCCGGCCTCTCCGCTGCCTGGTCCTTCTCCTTACTATGGACCGACTAGAGTCTTACGGAGCGTCGTGAGCCTGACTCGCGGTCCTGTGTCACCTGTGCCTCGCTCTGCGTGCCTGTCCGACCTGTTCGCACTAGTCGTGTTTCGCGTC